ACACACACACACACACACACACACACACACACACACACACACACACACTTGCATGCATACACACATAGGTACAGAAAAAGTAAAAAGAAGTATTGGTTTTTAACTTGTACAGTTCGCACCTCATCAGAGACACAAAGTTTGGCCCAGGGATTTCTAGATCTTGGTTCAGATTTTCCTCAGAGACTTCTCCCTTATAGCCTAGCCTAGATAGAGGGGCTTGAAATTTCTATTTAACCTCCCTCCCACTCCTAGGAATGTGTGGGGAAGATTGACTCACCTCATAGTCGATATCCAGGGCATCAGTCTCACCCTTGGTCCGAAAGTGCTGTGTGTTCCTGTCCAGTGTGAAGTTTGCTTGCTTTCCCACACGCTCCAGGAGAACTGAGTGCCAGTGCTGGTCATCTAGAAGGCTACCCAGAAGAGCTGATGGTGCAATGCTGCTGAGGCGTGCTTGGCTGTCATCTGCAGAGGGGAACGGTGGAATGGAATCTCAGCCCAGTAAGCTTTGAATTCTAATTATCAATAGCACTGAGTATCAGGTACCTGATGTTTCCTCAAGCAAACTCAGCTCAAGCTGTCTTTCTACAGTGCACACTACTGGGCATTTGGATTGAGTCATGCAACAGGCTTTCTGTTCAAGTTCCAGAACTGGTTCTAGCTCAAATGATATACACTCCTACTTCCTGACAGGAAATGAAATGTTTCCAGGACAACAGCAATCATATAGTAACAGAAATGCTTACAGTATTGGCCAAAGAAACAAGATTTAAAACAAAAGTGTCAATATTTAGAAAAAAAGAAAACTAAATACACACACACACGCACACACACACACACAATTTGGAAGGATTATGAATGAAGAAAGCAGATCTTGAACCAACTTCAGAGGAAGCCACTAGCCATACAGAGTATGTCTGAGTACACCAAAACAGAGGCAAACATAACCATCCCAGTTGCAAATGTTGAGTACCTACTGTATGAACTGAGTCCCTCCATCAAAAATGTAATGGCTGAAACTATCACACAGAATTTGTCTCAACATTAAAGAAAAGCTGTCATTACTGAACATATGTTTTTAAATTTTTCATAAATTATATGTGTATGTGTGTGTGCACACAGATGTGTGAATATATGGATTTGATATTCATCTTCCACCATGTGTATGCTGAGATCTAACTCTAGCCATCATTATTTGTAGCAAGCATCTTTACCCACTGAATCATCATTTGGGCCTCTAGTCCATTAATTTTAGTTTGAGAGAATAGTATATATTACCACTGGACTCTGAATATGATAGCAAAGTACAGATATCCTCCTTCTTGTATTGTGTCATCTTTAATGTCATCTGTATTTACCTGTGCACAGGTGATACTGTGTGGCCTCAAGGGGCCAGGACCAGCTAATCTCCATGTGTGCTGCACACTCTGCTCACTTCTACTTTCACTATGGCCTACTAGTGTTGTTTGTCTCACTGAGGAAAGATACATGGCTTCTCTCAGGAGTTAACATTGGGACACCATGCTTAGCATACTTGGAAAGTAGGAATGGTGAATTAATGTCTGCTTCTGTTTTATTGATTTATTATTTATTCCAAAAGCCTTGAAGTCTCACCATTGACAGGTTATGCTAATGCATTAGTAAATATCTCTGTCTCTTTTTCCTCCCCATCCTCTAAAGGACACTGTAGTCTACTAGTACAGGTCATGGTCACATATAGAAGGTATGGAGCAGGCATGGAGGTCTCTCTTCTGAGAACACCAGTGTTGATATCTTCAAGTAACAATAGCTAGAACACAGGATGACATAAACACAGGCAAGAGGCTAAATACACAGCAAGAGGTAGTATCCACCCAGCTTGGAGGAAATGGTACCCAGGGGGAGGGGTTGTAGGAACCATGGTCCTTGGGAAGGAAGAAGAGACAGGGATATTTATTAATACATTAGCATAATCTGACAATGGTGAGAATTCAAGGCATGTAGAATAAATAAATACTAATTCAACAAAGCTGAAGCAGACACTACTTCACCAGTCCTAATTTCCAAGGGTCCTCAGTGAGGAGAGCTGGCTCACAGATTTAACAACTCCCTTCAGGACTCTATGTATGAGATTGCTGCATTTGATTAACATAGAAGGTTAGGTTAACAGCAATGAAAAATTTAAATTTTGTGGCAAATACTGCTAATTTAAGTTATGCTAAAGTTCTGCTATACTTTATGCATATCTGATAGGCAAATAATATATTTCTGAGTAATTTTACCACATATTTCTTTGTTAGAGAGAGAGAGAGAGAGAGAGAGAGAGAGAGAGAGAGAGAGAGAGAGAGAGAGAGAGAGAGAGAGAGAGAGGAAGAGAGGG